ATGAGTTAAAAGTTGAGCTCTTTTTTAACATTAGTTATAATCCAGATTAAAAAAAAAAACGTTTACATAAAGTCTAAAACCTACAAAAAACACCAAATGACAATCTTGTTTTTTTCTATGAGCTTTTTAACCAAACTGTCATAAACGGTTTATTAAACTAATATTCTTTCTATAGATATGACTAATATTTGGGATTTGGGGGCCCCAAAATTTATATATTATTTAGGGGTCCGAGGCGAATGCCTTTTTCCTACCACTATAGGCACGGTCTTGATTGTGTTTCCGACCAAGAAAGAATTGGCGGAGGCTATGGCCGAGTACACGGCCACTCTCTCAGCCAAGTTCTGCAAGGAGAGAGACTATTTCACCATCGTTATCTCTGGCGGTAACCTCATCTCTTGGCTCTCGTAAACTCCTTCGCTTCTCATTCATTTTTTTATATATTCTGATATTATATCCAACGTAATTAATTAACTATTTTGCAGTGATTTATTGGATGAGAAGCGAAGGAGTTTCCAACGTATATATTCTGATATTATATCCAACTTCTTTGGAGCCGTCTAAGGGAAAAGAAAACTTTTTACTCTAAGAACCACCGCGAAAGATCTTCAGAAGATGACCATCGACGGAGATCACAACGACAATAACCCAAAGGAACCCGCCGTGGACGAATCCGCATTGAAGGACTCTACAGCGGACGAATCTGGAGAGAAGAACACCGCCGGGGATGGATCCACCGAGAAGCAAACACCACCCACCGCGGAGGCAAATCTTGAGACGCTGGCTCAGATCAAGGACATGTTCGCAGAGATCCTTAAGAAGTCAAAGGAGCAAGATCCCATAGTGGTATTTTTGCAAATGTACACACCAAAATTAGAATTTTTGCAATTGTCCCAAGTATTATTGGCTCGTTGGCTTATATTTTAATATTATGCTCATCCTTATGTTACATTATAATATTTGAAATTAACTTACCGTAGACTTAGTTATTAAATTGTAATTAATTATTAAAGTTATTAAAAACACTTATTTTTTTTC